TGATTATTTAAGAGATGGCAAAACTTTGTATTTATTTTAAATTTATCAAGGGTGTTAATTTGGATACATTACTTTAAGAATAGATAAAAGCCAGTGTGTGAATATGAAGTAAATGTGATGTGAAACCAGCCTGCAAAATTTGTATATTTAATCCATTTTTTGCATTTCATTAACTTTGTGCTTTATAAGATTAGTGTTTGAGAAAGTAAGACTACGGAACACGAGCTTCAACATCATTAAATCAATATAAGCACTACGGTATAAAGAAAAGTACAAATTTTTGTGCATGATATTATTTTAGTAGGTACTGTCCAAGAACGGGTTTAATACTACGCATTCGTTCTCTGTGTGCATCGAGTATCTAACCAGAAATAGAGACGAAATGTCATTTAATTTGTTTTAAAACTATTCTGCCATATCATAACGGCGACAACTGCGCTCCAATTGGCCAGCCCGAATTCGAAACAATTGACGGGTGTCGTCAATTGTTTCACTTCAAAGCGACCAGTTGTTGGCGCTGTACTATTTCAGTTTTCTAATTTATGATTTCAGCGCAAACGAGAGTTGATATTTATAATCTCAGTACAGAGTACTAAAATAAGCGACCTCAAAAGTACGTGGAATTACATACACAAGTTTTACTGTTTTATTGAAATCGGTTACCGGAAAGTGCGCAAACCCGGATCGACACTATATGCGACTTCACACAGGAGATAATAAAAATCGGTTCTCACTCAAAGTATATTGAGAGAGAAAACGACTTGAATTGGAGAATAGCAAAATCAACCATTAAAATAATTGCTCCTTATTATAAAATTTAAGCGCTATTTATAAAAATGAATCTTCATGCGTGAACAGCCACCCTTAGAGGTGGATGATTTTCTTCTTTCCAATAAAAAAAGAATCATGAAAATCGGTTCACAAATACCGGAGTTATCGCGTAACATACATACAAAAAATATACAGTCGAATTGAGAACCTCCTCCTTTTTTTGAAGTCGTTTAAAAAGTGATATAAGAGCCATTTACCTGATGAGTTGCCAGGGATGAATGGCCCTTATTTCGTCTCTATTTCTGGTTATACATATACTCGATGTCTGTGTGTATCATGCTTAAGAGCGGTTACACACGGTGATTTTCAGCAGAGCGTCTGCAGCGATTCAGTCGCTAATCGTTTACGTTCACCACACGCGCGACTTAAGCAGGAATGCGATGCAAGCGCGATTCAATTGCATTGCACGTTTTTAATAATTCAATATACCGCAAGTGTCGCCATGCAATTGCTTGGTTCTATCGCTGCTAAAAATCTTCGTGTGTAACCGCTCTAACATTGAAATTTAATATACGAATTTTTGATGCACAGTGGTTAATGGTAATCCCGTCCAAGTAACAACAACAATGTATTTTCAACCACTTAAATTTCATTGGGTAACAATTTAGGCTAAGAAGTACAATTGAGATTCGTAGCAATATACTTAGGGGTTTTTAAACATTTTTTTAAATATAGACTCTGACCATATTCAATTCTTAATTTTACTATTTTTGTACCTACCAATACTTTTGCTCATAAAATAACTTATTGGTTTTGTTTCGTGAAGTAAAAGAAATGTTTCAAAACAATGCTGTTTTTATTTGTCATTCAAAATTTTACCACGGGTGAGTAAGTATGCCTTCGCATGAAACTCATTGAATTATTTATTTAACCTGGTAGCACGTGACACATGAAAAGTATAATTTTGGTGAAATGGTACAAAGTTGTGGAGTGAATCAAAAATTACAATGAGTATATACAATGGGAACAGACTGACTCGACCTTTATTGACGATGATAGACAGGTGCTGCCCTCTGCATGTTATTAACGGTTACTAGAGCCGATATACACGTAGTTTAGATTGTTGTCAGGTTTTGTATGCAAATTACGCGCTTCAGAGCCTATGCACACGGCGTATTTTATACACGCCACCGACGCAAATAACGCGCGTAAACGCGATTCAAACGCGATGCAGACGCGCGCAATAAACGCTCGTCTGTATCGCGTTTTACGCGCGTTTGAATTTATTTATTTATTGGCACATCTACAGAATACAAATTTATATTGCTAATACAAATTTATATTGCTAACACAAATTAATATTGCTAAATTAAATAGAAAATAAATCTGCATTTCTTTAACAGCTACGCAAAGCTTTATCATAATATAAGTGAACACAGCTAAAAACAATTAATTTAACAAATACAATAACATGACTGGAGGTAACTACAATTAATAAATTATAACTTAAGTAACCAATTCAAATTAACAAAACGAAAGTAACCATCTAAAAATTATTACTGCGTTATATTAAGATTGCAAGATTTAAAAAAAAAGGCGGGATACCTTTGAATTGATTCAAACGCGCACAATTATATATATTAAGCCAGTAGTTTTTAAAACTTAGTAAATGTTTCCGATATACGCAAGACGCATAAAACAACCCCTTGTATTAGGTATAAAATTTGAATAGTTCTAAAGAAAAAATTTCGGTGCCCGTGTAGTTTGCAAAATGATTCGATCTTCGTAAGTAGGTAATTAATAAATTTTAAGGAAAAAGGACACACTATACATACCTATTCCGAAACCATTAACTTCGGATATGGGTATAATCCCTATGTCTATGGGTATAATAGTAGCTCACAATCCGCAATAAAATGTGCTGCTGCAATGTGCATCTCAGAGAATTCGCCTTTTTACTCATGATCACAAAATATGTTTGTTTTAATGTTATATTGAACGCGCAGAGAGCCCCGCGGCGTTCGTGATGTTACGAAACACACACAGGCTGTTCGAGTAGAACAGCCTTTCCCAAAGTGGGCGATAACGCCCCCGTGCTGCAAGCCTAAAGGGGGCGGTAAGAGACCCAGAAAAAAATGAGGGCGTTGTGTAGAGGCTTAGGGGGAGATTTGTAATTTCATCTAGGAAGACTCTTAGGGTCATATTCCAGAACTCTACTCAATATTCAAGTCAGGACTTGAGTATTGCAGTGAGCACTGAAAATCATACTCAAGTCCTTGCCATTAGGGTCGTATTTCCAGTGCTTGAAATCATACTCAAGTCTGCTCAAATGCTGACTTGAGCAATGAGTAGAGTTCTGGAATACGACCCCCAGTCTGGTATTTCCAAGTTCAAAATGTCCTGGTATCGTTCGGTGACGTCAACGTGGAGGTTTTCCAAATGTTGGCAGTAGGCAAACAAGTCGTCGTTACTGCAGGATACTGATAAATTCGGAAAATTGTGAAACTCACGTCTGCCCATATTCTTTTTGTATCATACTCAAATCCTGACTTGAGCATTGAGTAGAGTTCTGGAATACGACCCTAAGTGTTGGGTCCGTTTTCAAATGTCAACAAAGCAATATCACCTCAGCTGGAAGAAGAACTTATAGAATTGACAATGAACGAGGAAATAAAAATCAAGTTCAAAAATGGTTACCAAGAATTTTGGCTACAAAAACCGATCCCGCAATTGTACCCTGGATTATGGTCAATCGTTCAACGATTCTTGATAGCATTCCCATCGTCATATTTGTGTGAACGTGGTTTTAGTGCTGTGACAACGCTGCTTACTAAAAAAACGTGGTGACTTGCGGCTGTTCTTGAGTAAATTGGAACCTGATATCAACAAACTTATTAAACAGCATCAGATTCATCCTTCACATTAGTTTTTGTATTAGAATCGATTATGTTTGTTCTATTTTGAACAAAAGATACTCTGTCTGAATACTATAAAGTTGTGTTTCAATAATCATTCTCATGGGCAGGTGTAGAGTTAACTTGAGACCAGAGCGCTGTTGTGTACTACCTACTGCACTCAGGTCTCAAGTTAACTCTTGCGGGTTATAGTAAAAGTCTCTTTTAGAATGAATGTTTAATCTTATATAATATATCTCACAATAATTAATTTGATTTCAAGTTATGGTGGTTTTTGAGTAGGTGAAAAAATGAGGGCGCTAAAAAAAGTAATTTATTCTCAATGGGGGACTAGACAAAATAAGTTTGGGAACCCTAGTGTAGAACGACTGGCAATGCTTATTACAATGTAAGATATCGTTGCAATATGCCTTGAAAAATAAAATTTTCACATCTTTAGTACTGCCAACAAACACGTAACACGGTAGCATTAATTTTAGTGCTGGGTCGTGGAAAAATTTCCATGTAAAAAAACATTTTTTTTCTTTTTCCCATATTCTTCCAACTCTGACAGTTGAAGATATTGAACAAAAATGATGGAGCCAAGGCTTTTTACGCTGTTGTGAAATCATTTTAAATATCGTTTTTCTCTAAGTGGCTATAGCTAACTATTAAATAAAATTAAATTAAACTTCCAAATATATTTCTAAATGTAGAACATAATATTATGAGCATTCGAAATTATATTTTCCAATTTTTCAAAATTTTTCTGAAAATTACACAACACAGTAGCCATAATATTGCATCGTAGAACCACTATCCAGCAGCGTCCTTCTTCTTCTTCTTTATAATGTTACAGCTCAATCGATACCATCGATGATTCCGCCAATGTCGAGCTAAGGAACACACGCGTTTTTTACTCAAAATTTGACTGGTGAATTTCAATAGAAATCACTGAGGGATAACCTACAACAACCTCAGATTACAAAAATTTAGTTTATTGTTTTGTAATCTGAGACAACAACAGTAAATTTACACAGACTATTACAGAAACAAATAATTTACACAGGACATACACAAAGGGAGAGAGGACTAACGTTAGGAGAAAGTTGATATTAACGGGACGGGAGATTTTAGGGGAAGGATATCTTAAAGAGAAGTGACGATAGCAGCGTCCTTACAATCTATTAAACAATAAATTGAACTTTCTGAACAAAAATTGATTCAGTACTGTCAATGTCAAAAATTCAATTGCCAATGTCAAGTATATTTACCGGCTTTTTACCGGCACAAATTGGAAAGAAGTTGAAGTTGGAAAGATATTTTAGCGGTGCCGCGTTTCTTCTCATATTCTAATAGATTAAAAACAGAATGGAATTAAATAATGAACTTGAAGATAATAAAAAGTGTTTCAAGATTAGAGAGCAGCTAATTGATAACTTGCACATAACTTACAACGAATCAACATCTATGTTTGTTTTCTTCAATAAGTACCAAATATTCGTATACGAAAACCTTCAATTTCATAATGTAGCTAGGATATTCGTTCCTGAGTTCCAAGTTCGTCAAATTATTGTCTCGAATAACTATTTATTGTGTTTGGACTACAGTGGAAATGTGCATGTGATTTCTTTGAAATTCAAAAACGCTGCGCAAAAAAGATTCAAAAGTGCATTCCAGCCGCGGGAACAAAACGTTTTACATTGGCAGCAATACGATTCGGACAATATTATATGTTTGAAATTGGAATCTGAGGCTTATTCACTATGCCTGCACGAAATTGGACCAGATTTCCAATCGAAAACAAAAGCTGCTCTAAGGCAAAATAAAAACCACTGGCCTCCTCAATCTGAAGGAAAATATCTACTCTGCTGTCATCAAATTAAAAAAGAGGACTTCAGATTTATTGTTGAAACCTTACAATCTCCTGTAGATACATTTAGAGATCACCAATTAATTATCATTTCCTTTGACAAACTTAATGTCTATGGTTGCTTATTTAGTTCAAAAACAACAGATACTGAAATTGAACTAGTAAGGCTGTACTCTAGTCCTTCAGAAATCTGTGATATTAAAATTTTAGCAACAATAAATTTTGTAAATATAGTCATTGGTTTAACAATAGGCACTATAGTGCGACTCTCATGGAAATACGATTCAAATGAATCAGAAATAATTCATCTTAACACGGCATTATCTAAATTCCTTCCATTAAAAAGTAATAACACACTAATATACACTGACGGTCTATCTTTATGGAAATCGGAAAACACATTATCAAGAGGACAATTACAATTTGAGCAATTCTTTACGAAAAATGTAAAAGATTTTGTTAAATTCAGAGATCATATCATCTGTACAACATATTCCAATATGATATACATATTTCCAATAGAACATAAAATATCGGTGATAAAACCCGCAGGTGATGACGAATATTGTTCAGCAGAAAAGCTTTTCAACAATTTGGATAGTATAGACCAACTTGTGAAGGAAACGAGGAGAAGTGATGATTTGTTGAAAAAAATTCATAATGAAACCAATTATATTACAATATTAACATTCTCAAAACGACAAGACGTAATGGAAAATGTCATACACCAAAATATAATTGTATACAACAACTATAACAATGCAAAGGCAGAAAATTTAGACGTAATATTAACAGAAGAAATGCATGAATACTTCAAAACTGATATTTTGATATTAATCAAAATTAAAGTACAAACAGAGCAAAAAACTTTGCATCAAGTTTTATCAAGTATATTCACTAATTTAAAAGTCCATATTACGATCATTTCAAAAAACAAAGTTGTTAAAACTACAAGTGTAAAATTAACTGAACCACTAAAAAAACTACACATCTTAATACCTATAGACACAAAACATATAACTGGTATTACTCAGTTAAATATACATACTAAAATTGTATCTTCCATTCCTGGTGTAAGAGATGAAAAGCAATATCTGTGGAGTGTTATATGTAGTAAACATGCAATATTACATTCTGAGCATTTTATTAAAAGTCCCATTGAATATAACAACAGCATCAGCTTGAAAGAACCTGAAGAATCATTGGAAAATTTAATAATCAAAGTTGCAAACATGCAACATGGAGAAGTGTTTAGATTCATTGATATTTCTACCTTAACCAACCCAAAAAACTATACCATGTATGTAAAACTACCCTATAATTATCGAGAAGCAATGAAATGTCAAGAATTTTACAAAAAACGCTTCAGTTATGATAAAGCAAAGTACTTATTTCATCAATTCAGTGCAGACAGTTTTTTACGTGGAAGAAATTGTTTGTTCTTTGAAATTGGGGAGGAAAAAGTCGAATTTGAAATTGTGAATGATATATCTTATTCGGTGTTGAATGTTTCAAGCAATAATATTCATGTGGCTTTTACAATGAGGAATTTTGCAGCCAGTCTTGTTTATAATGAATTCAGAAACTTTAGCTCTGGGACGGAATTTGTGAGCAATGTTTTATATACAACTACTGAGGTTTGTAATGTGTATTTTAAGTTCCATAATCATTGATCTATTTTTAATTCATATTAATGAAAGGTCCTGGATTTGTTTCCACTAGAGGTCTGCACATGCCTTTAAATCTTTATCTAGCCGCGCCCAATTTAATTTTATAATTATCACTTGTTTCAAAGGTGAAGGAAAATATTGTGATAAAACCTATATGTCAGAGACTCGTTCAAAATGTGGTCCCCAATGGTGATGGACGGCGTTCACAGAGGACTTTATTTGGGTTAATGCTAATGCTTTTTCAAATAAAGTATCTCATTATATAATTTTTTTTAAAGTAACAAAACACAAATTGATTTCCAAAACTTTTGTCCAAGCTTCCGTTTTCAAAATTGTGTTTTTCATTATATTCAAAATAATAATTTCAGACATAAGGGCGCCTTAAAATTAGACGCTGTAGAAGCGCTGCAGTGAAGACTGGTTTCAGTAATTTTTAGTTCACTTATTGTGACTGCAAAAGTGGCGCACGACTGCAGCGCCACAGTGGCGCCATTGCCGCGCGTTTACAGGCGTCTAATTTGAATGCACCCTAAGCTTTAAAGCTCAACATAATTGAAATGGTGCATAACATAAAGAAGTATAAGTAAATCGATTTACGTGCAAACTAGATTCGAGACTGTAGCTGCGGGAATTCCCGAATTTGCGCGACTTGTTATTTTGGCGCGTATCTACAGGCCTACCGCTTAACTGAGTAAGTTCCTGACGATATTCAATAACAAGCTGGCAGGTTCTTCAATCAACTTAATATCGTCAGAAAAATCTTGTTGAAATTATCCCGTGTGCAGCGCGACATTACTGTTACGTAAACTGTCACTCCTCCCGCACCGCGCAACTACCTCAGGAACCGTCTTAGTTAAGTGGTAATGCCAGGTTAACGAGTCTTACACTTACGTTTTTCGCTTGCTTGCGTTGGCTGGGTATATGGCGTAGAAATCTGCCTTCGGGGCGCCAGGGCGTTTACGAGTATTTCGTTTTGCGTTGCAGAGAGACTTGCGTGCATGCGCGGCGCTTGGCCTCCTTCAAACGATCGTCGGCCTCTTTATTTGAATTCGACAAGCACATACCGGCACAAACTAACCTCCTGCTACTCCTTTCTGCCACTGTTTTTCGACGCGGATCGTCACTTTCGAACCGGCAGCTGCTCTGTGATTGGCCAACTCCGCTAATGCTCTCTGTTGCTTGCGAGGAAATATCAAGCTTGCTAGATATCAAACTCACGCAACGCAAAGCAAGCGAGCGACTCGTGAACAGGCCTGCCTGCGCGTACGCGACAGATCTTTGCGTATGCGCTAAGCGAGTCATGCAAGCATGCGAAAAACGCAAGTGAAAGACTCGTGAACCCGACATACCTTTTTTTTTTTTGACGGGGGGGAATTCTTTATTTGGGGACTCTCCCTCCAGATGGAGGGCCTACCCCACTAAAACCCCCCCGGGTTTCCCTCTCGCCGGTTGAGTCGGCGCCGTGGGATCAGTGAACATTCACCACGACGCCGCCCGGCCGCCCTAGCTTACGCCAGGGCTCCCGCGCCAACGGAGGGGCGAGTCGGTTGTCCTCCGACCCGCCCCCCAGACGAGTGAGGCCGTGCAATGCAGGCTCCGGAGTCCCTGTCCAGAGCCCGCAGGTCTCACTAGGGGATCAGGCGAGCAGCGAACTGCCTTCGCCTTCTCCCCGTACGTCTGCGCCGGAGCGGGTGCGCGTCCGCCGCGTCCTCGCGCACCCGCTCCGCGGCCTCCTTTTGCGACATAACCTCTGCGCAAAAGGAGGCTACCGCCTCCCAGGACTCCTCGCTATCGAGCATGGCGGCAACCACGCTCGGCAGCGAGAGGTCCTGCCCTACAGTCCCCGTCAGAGTGCGGCGCTGCTCATCCCACCGGCTACACACCTCTAGGGTGTGCTGCGCGGTGTCATCCGCAGCGCCGCACTCGTGGCACGACGGTTCCCTCCTCGCCACCTTGTGCAGGTAGTGACCGAAGCAGCCGTGCCCGGTCAGCACCTGCACAAGGTGGTACGACAGTGGCCCGTGGGACCGGTTTACCCACTCTACGAGGACAGGGCGGATCGCCTCTATGGTACGAGCGCCATAGGGGGGATCCGCCAAGCCCTCTTTCCACCGGTCCCGCATGCGCTGCGCCGCGAGGCGGCGCTCCCGCTCCACCTCTTGGGGAGCGGGTCGCTCGCCTCGGTCCCTCATTCCCCGCCGGTAGGTGCGGACCTCCGCCGAACCCGACATACCTAAGCCTTAAAATAATAACGCATAGAACGATAGTTTCATATTAAACGATCTGTCACAAGTGAGGCAAAAATTAAATTCATGTAGGCTAGTTTTAGTAGTAGGTTAATTTTCGGTTTTAGTGAATATTTATATAAAAATACAAGTTAAAACGCGTTACTTCCTTGTGGAATGTGATGTTAGTATCTATTTTATGTTTGTCTGACGTATTTTTACACTCATTTACCGCACATTTCTTCATTTTTAGCTAAAATTCTTGAGCTGTTCGCGGTGCAAGTTGACCTTGAGCACTGACGGCCCGCCCGCTCGTATAGGCCCATTGGGGTCGCTTCAATTTGCCTCAGTTAGCGTGTGCGGACTAGGTTTCTATGCGATATTATTCTAAGCCCTAAGCCTGCAGTTTGTATCTTACACATTTTGTTTCGCGGCAATGTAAACTGAGCCCTAGTGATACTAAACGCGTTGTTGTTTATAAAAGATATTAATTTTGCATTTATTTACTTCCAGAACTTACACAAAGCAATAAAAGACGCCATTACAAGCAACTCTCCCGCGCAGCTGATGCCTTTGACGGAACAATTTCAGAAAAACGTCATTGGGGCTTTACCATTTTGACACAGATGCAGTAATAAGCCCACTACTAAGGAGAATAATTAATCTAAGAAATTAATTAATTATTAAGAGAAATCAATAAGAAATACTGCAATTACTGAATACTGAAAATGGGTTATAATACCAGACACCGTTCTTATGCCTAACGCAAGGCTTATACTAGCAAGATGTGATGAATCAGTCTTAGCCATACAAAATATATAAACTCAAGAGAAACTCCAGATCGTAACTCTGAAAAAGGTGAAAAAGACGAGTTACATCTAGATGGCGCTGAATAGCCTGGAAGTAGTTTATATTATGTAGAAATGGCCATGGATTTCAATTAATTCCTCTTTAATATGAAATATAAGAAGTCATTTTTTTTCCTTGTAATATTATTCAAATAGTTGAGTTACTTCTTTTAAATGCTATAGCTCCATCGAAATAATCGATGATTTCGCCAATGTCAAGTAAAAATGACTATGTGCAGTAGTTTTGTAAAAATATTACTTCTCCTTTATAATGTTACTACCTCATCGATACTATCGATAAATCCGCCAATGCCAAGTTAAGGAACACACGCGTTTCTAACTCAAAGATTGACCAGTGAATTTCGACAAAATTCACTGAGTTGAAAAGAGAATCTACAACAACAGAGTACATACACAGACTATTACAGAAACAAATTGTTTTTTTGTATTAAAAAATAACAAGAGGACATAAACAAAAGGAAGAGTGGACTAACGTTAAGAGGAAGTTGATATTGACGAGAGGGGGGGATTTTAGAGGGGAGGATATCATACAGAGGAGTGACGATACGATTACAGTCAAAAAACAGGTTCTGTTGTGTTAGTTTTAAACATAGTAACGTGACATGTCTTCCCAAACTAATTGTAAGATATTAGTGATTCAAATTTAAAGATTAAAGGAAAATAGTTTTTTTACGTTTGTTTCTTTATTCATTAATTTTCTTTTTAACGAGTCTACCATATAAAGACCGACATCAACCCCGTAAATCCACGGTACTTTGTGGGAAATTTTATTAAGCCTTTAAGCTAAGTTACAAATATTTTTTACATTAGAATTGTACTTCGCATTTTAAATTTTTACATTATGCCTCTTAACTCAGCGTGCCTCTTGGCGTAGGCCTCCTCCAGATCTTTCCAGTGCGTGTGAAGCCTTACAAGTGGTGGTCAGCAAACGCAGAGCAGTATCCGAGTCTGTCAAAATTTCCTGGCAGTAGTGTTCATATTAAGAGGTTATTTTCAGAAGCAGGAATAGTTTATGAGCACAGACATATGTCTGTGTAAGAGGAAAAGCGCAATCACTTGTTACCAAACAATGCTGAAAAAGTTGTTTTCATTCATCGCAACCTGCCAGTGATTGATTTTGAGTATTAAAGCAATAATTTGTGATTAATATACTCGTACACGATACATTTTGAATAGTATGTGTCCTTTTTTTTCATTATTTGATATTCGACATTCGGTCGAATAGTCTTAGTATTCGGCCGAATACCGAATATTAAAAAAGTGGCCGAATAGTAGCCGA